AACTCGATCAAATTGCCAACATAACATTTTTGAAGCTCTTCTGAACTTCTTTTTATAACTTAATCTTGTGGTTTAAAACAACAGAAAATGGGATCCTATAATAATAATAAGGGTGAGGTAATCTGAGCTGTAAGTGTTGCTACCTGAACTATAATTAAGACACCAATTTCCCGTGATGTTAGAAAGCTGTTCTTTTCTCTAGCATTTGTACTAGCTTCCAAATAGGTTTAGAGAACAAATTAGAGTCTTGTTGCCCCAGCACCTCACACATTGCACAGTCACTTAAACATGCATTACTAATAGGTATAATTTCCCCCTCACTTTGCACAGGTGTAACTGATTCCACAAGCGGGATGTGGTGAAGGATCACACCCACTGCGCTGATTAAATCAGCTAAGTGCAATGTACATCTCCCCCTGGCTACACTTCCTGGCACAACTAATTCCTTCTATTGAACCTTTGGGAATTAGGCCAGGACGTATGCACAGATGGTTCCTCAAATCAGGAATTCACTTCCCCTTATGTCTAACGGAGCCAGAATCTGAGTACTCAAATTGCTGTATTACACAAGGATATGGAAGGAAGAGATTCAAGTTCCCACTCCATGCGTTGAGTCTGTGTAAATTAGAATGGCACAGGACTCTTTGAAAAAAAAATCCTCTTGTAAGGGCTTACAAAAGTCATGATCATCAGACACTGATGGAATATTGATCTCCATTTCAAAATATCTCTTGCTCTATAAATGTGAATTTAAGCCCACACACTTTCTCTATATGTAACAAGGATTTTTGTCACCAAGAGAAATCCCCAACTTCCAATTAGAAGTAGCATCATGAAGAGGCCGTGCCTCAAGTCAGAATCCTGCCTTATGTCTCCTGCTCTTCAGAGAAAAAACACTGGAAATATGCACTTAGTAGAAAATGTGATGTGAGTATTTATACGTGAATATAAGCATGATCTGAAGAACACTTTCCCAGGAGTCTGTATTCTGGTTAAAAGTTCAAATACATGTTACTGAAGAAACTGTTGAACTGATTATCGTATCTGTAGACTACATCTAGCAATCTATATATACTGACATAGAGGAATAGAAGATATATACATATTCATAGGGTGGAGGGGAGAGAGAAATGATGTGTAAATATATTAAGAATGACTTGTGCTCTTCAGTGTAAGAAGATTATTTTTGCCAGATAAATACTGTATTTCTTTACAAGTAAAAAACACTAGGTATTTTCTAGACCTATATAATAATGTATATAAACCACAGAAAGGGTAGGACTGTAATATCCCTAGTGAAAGGCTAAAATAATCCAACATTATCTAATTATAGTGCCAAACGTTAAGTACGTAGGTATGCTGTGTCACAGAGAAGCTGCCAGGTTACATTATCATTCATTTCCAGAAAAGTCCAAAAGTATATCAGTCTTCCCAACAGCAATCTGGCAGTCTGAGAATCTCTGTAGCTGCAGTATGCAACATTGGATAGACAAGAATCAGAGTTCAGGGAACAAGGATGAGGTAATAATGAAAAAAAATAACAATTTACCAAGTGAGAACTAGTGAATAACACTGTGCTAAGTATCAATTCTGGTCATTTTTTACTAAAATAGTGTCTTAGCTTGACAGCTTCATGCAGGCATCACACCAGGAGTGAAAATCACCTCAGGCACAGAGATAATCTGAAAACAACAAAGTGTTTAAGCTGGCTCCAGCTGAAGAGCAGAGAAGACCATGAATAAAGTCAGAAATAAAACAAATATGGATAAAAACAGCACTGAGGCAGGATTCCATTTTAAGAGGTTATGGTTTTAAGTCATGAAAAGTGGGATTAAAGCAAAATACTGCCAAGTCCATGTTTCACAGAGGACTTAGTATGCTTTACCTTTTGGATGTATATTTTATGACAACTGGTATTAGGTCCTAAATTGCACATCTTTGGTCTTGCATTACTTTGTATGCTTCTGTAGCATTATGTATTTGATTATTTCCAGACTACCTGCCTTATTTTAAACCACACATCTCAAAGGCCTGCTGTTACACCATTACATTGTGTACATTACACCATTACATATATAGGCAACATTTAGCACCATGCTTCTCTGGGGCAATGTTGCTTTCCTTACTGCTTTATTTATAATTGTTCATATTACTCAAAGGCTGGAGGAAATATTCAATACATTACAGAATTATTGGCTTGCCTTGTCACACAGCCTTTCCTGTCATATACTGGCAAAAAAATCATCAGTGCATCCCACTTCCCAAAATCCCAACCAAGCAAGATGAGGAATAAAAATTTGTCTCTGTGGTTTTAACGTTATTCCTTTCTCCAGTAAGATTCTCTGAAGTAGCAGAATTTACTCCACAGCACAACATTCACAGCACCAGTAGGCTTTCACATTAGAAAGCAACGTGTAATTTAAAGGAATTTACATATACTTAAATAGTTCTTCAGACTGGACAAATCCATGCTGCTGGGCAAGTTATATCGGATATTCAAGTCCTGACTTCCTCTGATTTAACTGCTCAGTTTGTAAAAACCTTAAAGCTTGTTATGTATATAGGGGTTTATTTATTTGAGCTTTTTGTAGAATGTTTCAGATTCTACAAGGTGTGAAAATAAGGTCTGCCAAAATAGTGCTGTGGGCTTTGCTACAAGTATCAGAAACCGACAAAAAGCATTTCCATTAAATATTGTTCTGGAGAGGCTGGAATTTTTTACGTACAGATGCATTAGGAAAGACAGGCTTTGCATGATGAAAAGTTCGATAGCATTTGTGGGAAATGAACATCATCTAGAACAATTACATCACTTTCTAATTTTGAGAACACACTAGCAGAAATATGCTATTTCTAAATTGGTTAAGAAGGTCAGTATTAAAAAAAAAAAAAAAAAAAAAAAAAAAAAAGCAGAAGGAATTGTGTTAAATTATATATAAAATTCTTCCACTTGGATTGTCTCCTGTAGCAAAAGCTTTGTGTTGGGACACTGCTGTCGCCCTGTGTAAATGGACTGTCCTCAGAGCATGTCACTGAGATGACAGAGATTTTGAAATAATAACTCATTGTTGCAGAATGGACCAAGGCCTTCACATGTTAGTTTGCAATTTAAAAGTGCACATACATTACATTTTCAACAGAATATGTGTTTAGTTTAAATAAACACATAAATTGTAAAAATAGTGAATAGTTCACTATTCAAAAACCACTACTTCCATCAAAATAAGAATCTAAATAAATCTCACTGGAGACCAGATAATCTCCACTAGGTTTCCTAGGGAAAACAGTAAAATAATATTTGTGAAAATCATCTAAAAATTGAAAGATTGGAGTAGCTTACTCCCTCTGATATAAACGCATATTTGTGTGTTATTCACACCACTTGGTGCAGTTGCACACATGGTTATTGAAGAAGTCTCTGCAGCACACCCCAGTCTGGGTCAGCTGGATTTACTATTCATTTTTTCAGTGCTGGTGCCGAGTTGTGGATTTGGCTCTAACACCTTTGAGCAGTAGTGCTGGCTTCTGTACTAGATTGCGATATTTTCTGTTCTTTTGAGTAAAAGATCCTCCAAAGCAAGACTGTAAAACCAACAAAACAGGCAAACAGATGTGCCCAACTATAGGACAAACATTATGGGCAACACATACGAAAGAAGTAGTTAGCTACGATCTGCTATATCTGCTCAGCTACTCCCCAGGATGGTCTACTGCAGCTGCATTTTAAAAAGAAGCGAGAGCAGAGAAAAAAACAACCAAATTTTATTTTGGTTCTGAGCTAATCTTTTCTAACTTTTTATGTTGTCACATACTTTTGGCTTTATATTTCCCATCTTTCTGGTAAGTTGTTGATTTGCTAAGCAATTCAGTAACACTGAACATGAAGACAGCCTTTTCTCTGATACTGTTCGCTTTGAAGTAACACAAGTACTGCTTTCAGTGATCTCTACAATAATACAGAAGAGGAAGATAGGAAAAAAAATAAGTGGTTTTGAAAAACCTATGTTAAGAAACTGATTGCCCAACTGATAAAATAGACACTTTCCAAGAAGTCAGTAGATGTACTACAGAGATGAAGAGTGAGACTGGCTCTAGTTCTGGTGCTCCTGGTCAGTGTCTTGCTTAGCGCATAACACACACATACAAGTTTATTTGTGAATTAAGGGCATAATCAGACAATATCTACTTGTTAAAACTGGTTGCTTGTGCTCAGCCAGATCTTCTTGTAAATCCAAATACACAAGTTGTTTTTTTAAGTTTCTAGTTTCCTTATAATGCAATGAAATTAAAAACCAATTAATCCTGGTAAACAGACATTGCACATAATGGAGGGAAAAAATAACAAATATAAAAACAAACAAAAAAAAAAGCAACAGCAACTGAAAAATTAACTCTGAAGTTTCTTCTGTGACTAAGTTCAAGGGGGTTATTATGGAGGAAATTAAAATTTTCATTACATCTGAAAACAGAACTTTCTCTGTTAAGGAACAGTACTGATCTAAGCAGAATGCACATTAACCACAGAGTCTTTTGGATATCTCTGGGGAAAGCATCTCACTCTGGATTTGCAAACCTTCTTCTGTTTGAGTTTGGGAATTATCTCTGGACCGCATTTCATAGAATTGCAATGAAGTCTTTTGCAGCCTGGGGTTTTGCAGTTCTTTTGCAATCAAGATTTCCCAGGAGCGCTGTAATCTGAGGCAAAGATGAGATCCAGGGTGGTTTTTTTTTTAGCTTAGAAGAAATACATCAAAATCCGGAGCTTTGCTTTATTCCTGAATCCTGAAGAGAAATATCTATGCATCCACAATATGTGATGAATGAAGTGGTAAATTAGAAGCCTGCTGTGCTATGCAAAAGAGATTACCCTTGAAATCTGAAGTTCAAGTTACATAAGTGAACATGCATGACTTTCATATATACTACAGACATAGAATAGGAAAGTGCTAGCCAACATCTAGAAATTCTATGACCTTATTTAACATATTATTCTACTTCAGTATCTTTTTATTTTACAGGAGACTATGTAGTCATGTCTGTTTACTTTAACCTGAGCAGGAGAATGGGTTATTTCACTATTCAGACCTACATTCCCTGCACACTTATTGTTGTGTTGTCCTGGGTCTCCTTCTGGATTAACAAGGATGCAGTTCCAGCCAGAACATCACTGGGTGAGTTGCTTTACTTTCCTGCTCTTATTCAGCATTATGATGTTAAAATGACACCAGTTTCTAAATGCAAGAGGGGAGAATTTAATACAAGTTCCCCCCATTTAGAATAATGTAATCACTTCCAAGGAGTAACAGCACTTAGACCATATTTCTCTCTCTTCCATTTCACCATATCACAACCTAACTAGAAGTAGTGGAGATCATCTCCAATAAAAGCTTTTGCATCTTTTCTGATTACCTTTTCTGATTTTTTAACAAACATCAAAACAAATGAAATAAATACCATGAATGAAACAATCTGCCTGGCTGCGTGACGCAGCGGTAAAAAGTGAACTATGTGGTACCAGCCTTCAGCTTGAGGTTCCAAAGGTCAAGCGTGTCCTTCAGACCACAAAATCAACTGAATTTGCCCATATCTAAAAGGTGAAATGCAATAAATCTGAATTAGCACTTTCTACACAGTTAGCAGCTCTGACACAAATGAAGGAGATACCGAGTTCAGCCTGCTCACGCGAACCAGCTGTATCTGTAAGAACTAGCAGAGAGAAACCCAACTGAGGAGATAAAAACACAGTTTTCTATTTCTGAATTAAATCAATGCTACTAAGAATCATTTTAGTCTTTCCTTCTGCATTTTCATTTCCTCACAGAAATGCAGAATAGAGCGCTGCAGGGAGGGACAGCATTTTCATTATAGATTTCCCTTGAAAGAAATACATGAACAGAGGACCAACAGCCCCAACACATAATGCTTTAAGTGTTTTATTGCTTTTTTTTTCACTCTCTCTAAAACAAGGCCTTACAATGTGCTTTAAAGTATAAAATGAATAAAGGCATTCAGCTGTTATTTTTGTTTTTGCTTAGATGTACAATGCAGACTCATCTCTCTGCTGAAAACTTGGCTATTCATACCTCCAAGATAAGATCAGTGGTATGAAATTTGCCATAAAAATATGATGAATTTTAACTGTTCTGATGCATTTTTAATGTTATTTACATCACAGGACAGGGAATAATGTTCTGAAAGGAGAAGGGAAGGTGAGGCACGTCCTAGTACTTTTCAGTTACAAGCTACAGTCATTTCTGAAGACCAGAGGAGGCACTGCTGAGAGAAATCTGTGGCAATTGTAAGGAGTCCTGAGAGACTCTCTTCCAGCTTTATTTGCAAGAAATCACTTAAATAAGCAGCAACAGAGAATTTGTGTGGGAATTTGGGGCTAGTATCTTTGGCTTACAACTAGAAAGCATTAAAAATAAGAGAAAGAAAACAAAGTCTTGTTTACATGGCACACATACAAATAAACACACTTTTTGACCTCAATTTTCATCTGGATTGGAGGCTTCCTTAAGAATTTTCATAATTTCTAAATCATATAATGGCTGCAAATGCATTTCTTTCTGGCACTGTTGTCATTACTGATATGAATTCCATGAATGACATCCTGAACAGCATGGAAAGTTTTACATTGGCCTTTAGAGTATTCGAAGAATGGATTCAAGTGACCTCTCCACCACGACCTCTCGCTCTGTTACAAAAAGTTCTTTTCTCTCCATCAGTTTCAGGATTCGAGAACATAAACCCTAAAACTGCATTTCTCAATTAAAAATGAATAATGGTGCCTAAAAATGAAACTATAAAGCAACAAAGCTGAATTAAATACATTTCTTAAAATTAGAATCCATCAGCAGGACAAGACTTGCAATGACTATGCAAAAATGATTCACACTCTCCCTATTCATCCTTGAAGCTCTCACTGAATCCACATTTCACTGCTTGGGATGGGCTGATATTTTTGCTATCTGTCAGAACTGCTGGCATCCTTCAGAAACAGTCAGAAAGAGATATGGCAACGTAACTTTGTTACATGAAGTTATAACATTTCCGATGTTTTCTGTCTGTTTACCAGGTATTACAACTGTCCTGACAATGACCACCCTAAGTACGATTGCTCGTAAATCTCTTCCCAAAGTCTCCTATGTGACAGCAATGGATCTTTTTGTGTCAGTCTGCTTTATTTTTGTTTTCTCTGCACTGGTGGAATATGGAACTTTGCACTACTTTGTCAGCAACAGAAAGCCAAGCAAGGATAAAGACAAAAAGAAGAAAAATCCAGTATGTATCTTTTTACCAGTAAGGTATAAAATTAAATTACATTATCTGAGGGAATATTTATACTTTATGTCTGTACTCTCATTTGAAAGTTTGCTATTACATATCTACTTTTCTTCTGTATTAATGGGAATACAATCATTTACCTTGATAACAAAGAACTCATATATCACAGTTGTCTAGATGGCAGAGAAACGAATTTCTTAAAACAAGGATCCTTTTTGCCAAATTTTTCTACAAATAACTATCAATGAAATTGTTATTTATGTATAGATAGAGTTTTTACTATGACCTTCATGGAAGAACTCTCAGTTTCTCTGTTTTAGCTTTAGCAGTACTCCCTGCCATTAACTTATATATGTATTATTGGCATGATTCTGCATTTTGTAACGTTATGTTCAAACTATGGACTGCACTTTCTTTCTAATTCCCCTGTAAGCATCTGTTTCCTTCTTCTTGTTTCCTTATCTTCTTTTTCTTGTATTTTCTCTCTCCGTTATCTATTTCTCTCCTTTTGAAGGTGATTTATCAACACTTTGCAATGTTACTTATGGACGCATGCTACACAATAATAAATAATGTATATAATAACCACAGTAAAAAGAAAAGTCCCAGGAATACTCTTAGTAGATTTCTAGGCGTATGCTCAGGTAGGGAAAAAATATTGTCTTATTTTGTTCAGGACAGACTTATTGCCTTTTGCTGCTGACTGAGAAGTGTGTTGTCTAGAAACTGTGAGGTGAAAAGAATGAGTGTAAAATACTACAGGAAACAAATGCAGCCTAATCTTCTTCAAAGAAAAATCAAATATGCATCTGCAAGATGTAACGAGTGCAAGTGTTTTACATTAGTTAAGAATATTTTCAAATCCACTTCAGGCATCTAGGAAATAATGAAAGTGTCTGGATTTGCTCTGCTAAAATCCTTAAGATATTCTCTCTTAGTTATAACACAGTAAGAAAGAAAAAAATAGTAAAATGTATAAATTAAATTAGTTTTCATTACACTTGTCATAATTTCATTTTTAAAACTTGATGAGAAGTAGACTCTTAAAATTGCAGATATACACTGCAGCAGATAAACAGTCAGCTAAACATCTGTAAGACTACACAGGAAGAATTTTCACATTACCTTAGGTATGGTGAATTTGGATTTCATCACAGGCATGTTTAGATCAAAAAGCACTTTTGCATGGTGACACATCTGTCTGTCTTAGGCTGAAATAAATGGCTGCTTATGTGAACCTGTGTCACAGACAATTAAGAGTGCAAAGATTAACTATCTCAAATGTAGTCACCTTGCTAAGAGATTAGCTGCTCTTTACACTATTTATCTGGGACAATCCTGGGACAAATAAAAATAATAGCTCTCCAAATCTAAACCCAGAGTCTAGAAAACTGAAAAGTAGAGTCTTCAGTACTCAGTATTCAGGTAGCTTTTTCTAAAATTTGCTTTCATAAACTCTGAATTGTCTCTTCTTTCAAAGCATTTCAACATAAAAGACTGAAATATCTTGAGAATATGAAAAGATCTAAATGGAGTTTGATACACTTCGTCTTTGGCCTGGATGTAGTTACAAGTCAGAGATAAGAAAAAGATGTGTGGGTTTCATAACATAGATACTTGTTTAAATGGCTGTTACCCCAAACTTTCAATAAATTTAGTTCTTTTTGACTTACTATGTTTTAGAAACATATTTTTAATTTACATTTTTTTTTCTCTTTCTTTCTTTCTTTCTTTCTTTCTTTTTTTTTTTTTCCTTTCTTTCTTTAATTTAAACCAAAACCCTCTGATTCTCTTTTCTGTCTACAAAATGAAAGCTTCTTCGGATGTTTTCCTTCAAGGTATAATGTTTTTTGGAATGGAAATTCACTGCATGCAACTGCTGAATTTAACTATTAGAGCTTATATGAGAGTGCTGTTGTTTGTTTGTTTTCTTAAATTAGACACCTAAGCATTCTACTCTAGGTCACTTCCTAATTAAGTAGAATGGTTACGCTTCTCTAAATAATATGTAGAGTTGATTCAGCAGCCCAATTATTGATTCACTATGATTTTGAACTTACACTAAGTTCAAGAATGACCAATGTTATTGGATCGCATGATTTAAGAGAGTTTCTGTTCAAAATATTTCTGCTTCTCTCTTTGTTAATTGCCATGGGATCCAATGCCACCAGCTACACCAGAAACTGCAATACACCCTTTTAGAACTCAGATCTGATCCCTCTGTTTATGACTTAACTTCAAATGATAAACTAAATTTATTTTGATATTGACATGAACAAAATTCAGTGTCATCATCAATCACTCAAATGCTGTTCCTTATGCAAAAAAAAGTCAGAGTTTTGAAAGGGTTTGAGACGCACATATTTTTTAATGCTGACACTTGAGCAACACATTCTTAGCAAGTTAGCAAATATATCTATGTAATATGCCTAAATCTTATCTTCATTCAGAAATGCAGAGATTTTGTCCAAAACAAAGAACCACCTTAAAATGAAAACCAAGAATCGTACGTGCTCATGGAATGATACTGTAATTATCTTACCACAATCTGCAGGAAATTTTAAGACTCATCATACTAGTGTTCACCAGTGCTTAACTGCATTTTAGATGCATAACTCATTCAAGTCACTCGAATAAATATATGCCTGCCATATAAAATTGGGTACATGATGAATCTCCCATTTGGTGAATACTAATAAATGGTGAACTGCATACATTCAAATTAACTATTGGAGAGTCTTCGCAAGATTTTAATAACTTTATTAAAAATACTTTAATTGTGCCTTTTTTCCATATGTATATATTTGCACAAACCAGTCCTGTATCACAAATAATCCTGCATTTCCAACTGATTATTTTCGTTCCACTCATGTGCAACACCCAAATTGCCTTCATATATCAGGCAGTTATGTGAAGTATAAAACAAAAACAATTCCAAATATCATCAGTTATATTTCTGCTTCCTTTAACCTCTATGGTTTACTTAGTCTGGCATTAAAGCTAACTGTCCTCAGCTGTCAACTTGATCTTGATTTGTGCTGCTTTCCTGTAATGTCAGTGTACGATGCAACTGATTTAAGCTGATTTTTAAGTTCAAGGTAATATTACCAGCCTCCCATGTACCCCTGCAGAACCATCATTCACATGTTGACCATTAATTTCCTGTTAGTCTGGTGATAATAACAGAGTGTCTCTCTCCTGCCATCTTTTTTCTTCTCTGCCACTCCATCCTAGGCACCCACAATTGACATCCGACCTCGATCAGCTACTATTCAAATGAACAATGCTACACACCTCCAAGAAAGGGATGAAGAATACGGGTATGAGTGTCTCGATGGCAAGGACTGTGCTAGTTTTTTTTGCTGCTTTGAGGATTGTCGAACAGGAGCATGGAGGCATGGAAGAATACATATCCGCATTGCCAAAATGGACTCCTATGCCCGCATCTTCTTCCCCACTGCCTTCTGTTTGTTTAACTTGGTGTACTGGGTATCATATCTTTACCTTTAAAAACAGGAGATCAGTGATATGAGCCTTACTCACTGAATTTCTTAGAGAGATGGTTTCCAAAGTCCACTTGAAGTATTGACGACGCGCTTTACAGTGGTCTGAATTCTTTAGTGCCATAACCCAGTAAATACCAATTATATCATTTATCCAAAAATTGCCATCAGGTTATTGTGAATTAATTGTCCATTCAACATATTAAAATATCTCAAAATAAAAATCTCATAAACAGGTAATATTCAGCTATACCTGATGGAATAAGGAGAATCGGGGCAGACAGGGCAAGGGGAGCATGGCAACATCATTTACTAGTTGGCGCTGCCATGTAAAACAGGAGTGACAGAGAGCAGAATTCCCAGGTAAAGTACTGTACAGTTTGTTAACATTGGCTATAATTATGTTATAGCTTTATTCTTTGTGGGCTTTTCTTTTTGGAAGAGTCATCTCTCACTTTGAATATGTATTAATAAGCTAGGAAAATAACTTTTATTCCCATCCAGATAAAAATAGACCTTTCCCTTTGCCATCCCTTTAAGAGCACATGTACAACTGCTGTAAATATTTCAATACCTTGTAGTACATAAAGTCTAGTGCATGCATCTTTTGGGGGCCAAAATAAATGAAACAAAGGTACCATAAAGTATTGTCTTTTATTTTGTGTCTCTGGCTGTGCTATTGTAATTGAAATGTGAATAAAAATCATATTTTTTTCCTTGAAAAATGTCCCCTTTCCCTCATGCATGGAAGATCCAAGCAGACAGCACTTTCATGTAAGACATTAGAGAAGCCTTAAGGATTCAAATAAATAACATGTAGACAAATCTGTATGGCCAATATAATAGCTCATAAAGTATACTGTACATGTCCGCTGCAGTTGTAGCCTTCATTTTCCATCGATAATGTTGCTATATTTCAAATGAATTTCCAGTAATTATACATTGCAAGATCAGCTTCTAAATTTAATCCACGTGTTTTCATTGTTCTTCTCCCATGCTGAACTATTATATCCACACAATGCTTTCTTTTCTTTTCTTTTCCCCCTCCTTTAGTCCAGTCCAAGAAATAGGTTTTATTCTAGATATTATTTTTACATAAGAACCTCACTTTGAAATATTTGTATTGTGTATACGCATACAGTTCTCTGCCCATTCACGTCCTTGATCAGCAATAGTTGTTGCCAGTGCTGCTTTTCACTCCGCAAGTACCTTTACTAAAGAAACCCTTACACCATAGCTAGCACAGATAGATATCCTTGAAAACAAAAGGGAACAAAGAGTGTCTTGGCTACTAAATCATATGTACGCAGTTTATGTGTATTCAAAACCTTCAGCCCTCCTGGGTGAATCTTGAAACCCACTTACACACTAGTTTTCAGCACCTGATGATGCTCAATTATGCAACCTTAAGCACATGTACATATGACTGACTTTTTTTTTTTATTGTCAAAGATGTAAAACGTCAACTCCTGAAAAGTGGGTTTGCAGACTGAAATGGGAGATATTTAATTATCATTACAGAATTACTAATAGCTAAAATGGAGGAAAATGAAAGTTTTCCAATGTTTGTATAGTTTTGGAAATAAAAAAATGTATAAAAAAGGAATAACTCAATCATCAATTGCTTCTTGTCCAATGTATTTGAAAATCTTTTAATAAAGGAATTGCACACACCTGTGGACTTTTTCCAATAAAACTGCTGCACTCAGCTCCAGAGTTTTCTTTTGATTAGTTTGTTAAAAGCACATGTCAAGGACTAGACTCGGTTCTAACAAGTTCGATTTACCAGCTGTCTAAATGTAAAGTGACAATAATCCTCATAACTCTCTGCATTGTCTCATTTTGCAGTCAAATGGCCCACTCACATTTTCATGGTTGGAGACTACGTCTCTAAAAGCTTTTTGAAGATTACCTTATTTTACAAAAAAAAAAAAAAAAGTCTGAGCTAGAATTATCACGATGAAAAGAGAGAGAACTTTTCCTTCTTTACATTGAGCAGAGTATCTCTACTCCCTGAATGGGCTCCAATTATCTTTCACAAGGAAATGCATATCAGCTGCTGCCAGACAGATTGCTGACTAATTATCTTCTGCAGTGGTCAGTGACTTAGCAGCTTTCTGTTAGCAGCTTCCATTTAATGAGTGGCTGGCGTCAAACATTTATAAATTCAATTTTTACCTGGATCTTTTCCCTTCTCCCAAATAGCCTTTATAAAGATCGTTATGAGTCTCAGCCCAAATCAGACCTTTAATTCCCTCAGGCCAAGTGGATTTCAGTTAACATACTTAGATTGTTTTTCTGCCAAGGTCACTGAAATGAAGGATTCAGATGCTCAGCACCCATTACCCTACTTCGACCATCAAGCTGAACATGCCTATGGAAGGCCCACGGCACAGCCAAATTGCAGGCACTAATGAGAATCGAACTATCAGGTTGCTTGTGCAGCAGGGTCTCCTCCCCTCAGCAGGAGAGCAGTTCAGCTCAAAAATCACAATACCCCCAATGAAATAAAGCACAGCATACAAAAAGAAGCAATGCCAACTCTGCAGCTCAGGATTTGAGTGACATTTTCTTACCACGTATCATTACTGAAAGGAGAGCAAACAAGCCCTACCTCAACCATAACCAAATACCTCAGGTTCTACCACTCTTATTTAGGAGTTTTGTAATTTCCTCTAAAAGCAGATGCACGAGTCTGAAAAAGACATTTCATGCTGAAACATGTAATTACAGCAAGGAAGCGCACGATGCAGTGCTGACTGAGCAAGAAGCACAATGCTCCTCGGAACAGAGACAGCACTAGCTATGCTGCCCATACTGTATTGTGGTTAGACTGCCATCACAAACAAAATAGTGAGAAAAATGTCCTTTGGTTGTGAGGAGGGTTGTTATTCAGAAGAAAACTACTGAGAAACCTAGCTATATAAAGTATATTTTTACATATTTATGTATATAATATTTACATATATTTTACACGTATTAACCTTCCCAGCTGCATTTTATGGAAGAAATACTCTCTTGACTCATCATGCTTATTAAACTGTGTTCAAGTTCATCATACTGCAGACATACAGCTGCTCTGGGATGTGTCTGTTGATGTTGAGATAGTTGTTAAATTTCAATCAACTACACGTTAGCAGTGCAATTATTTGTTATTTGTGCTGCAAGTATACCTAATGTCCCAATCAAGACAACACATTTTTTATCCCAGAAATCATGTCAAATATGCATATCAACAGAGAATACACTCAAGGCTTTTAAAAATTATTAATTCATAAAATTTATATAATCTCAAGTTTGTATATAACTTCTATATCATCTCCTATCATCAAAACTTGGCAATCAAAAATGAGAACAGAATTTAAGCAGTCAGTACTGAAGACTTCTAGCCTCTACACCTCCCACAGCTGTAATTTTTTAACTTTTACCATGTTCCCCCAGAGCTGTGCTTCAATGGACTGTTCAAATGTACTATGTGTAACAGTTACAATGGTACACCTATAGCAGTAAAGTTTTGCACATATTGAAGGTCTAGATATTTAGAACTTCTTCCCATCATGCCCCAAAGTCCTCCAGTCTAAAAGCATTGATCAGTAAAGAAAAAAAGGAATGGTTATAAAATACTCAAGTAAATGAATGTTGTGAGTAACGTAATAAGAAAGTTTTGTTGTCTGCATAGGTTTCAGTAGCTGGTATCACTGTACATAAAACCAATAAGAGAATGGGGAAAACCAGTTTTAGATTATCCATTTTGACAATAGGGCTGGGTTCTGTAGGATCATAGGAGAGAAGAGCTGTAATCTGGGAATGGAAAAAGGATAAGCATCAACTTTTTCTGGTTTGATGAAGAAAAGGCAGGACTGGAGCAAACAGACTTTGTGAGAGAAGCTGGTAGTTGAGGAATGAAATTAAAGCGTGATAATGACACAAAAGCTGAAATCAATGTTGAGCTTATGTGCTTTACCCTGCCTGCAGCTGAGAACTGAATTACAGAAAAAACAAAGATTTTGCTGAATTATGGAAAAATTGTGTACGTTAATGAACTACATCGGCAATCGAAAGCAACAAGCTAAGAAGAGGAGATAAGAAGCAATATGATCCATAGGAGAAAGACTGATTGTCAAGGTCAGAACCACAGAGGGTGCTGGTCTCTGAACCAACTAGAGCACAGTTTGGGTTCAGGCTTTCTCTACATGGGTGAGGAACCAGATTTTGATGACACTATGGGAGAAAGTTCATGTTATTTAGGAATGAATAAGGATGTCCAGTGTAAGGACTAAAGGAAAAAATGAAGTCTACTCATAGCAGCTGAAAGAAAAAAAATGCCCATTCTAAAATAAACTGAGGGATACATGGAAGATTGAATTCTTCGAAGTATGAACACAGGAAGAAAAATGCAAAAATAAAAGACCCATCAAGATGAAACTTAATTAAAGCCCAGGGGAAAAGGTGACATTTTAAAATGCAAGTGTTGTCTTTCATAAAAAAAATTCAATTGCTTTGTAAAGAGAATTTAATTAAATCTTATGAAAAACTTCACAGGTAAATCAGCTTATTAAACTCATGAGAGATCTATTGTTCCATTTATAAAAATTAAAAGCCAGTGCACCTCCTTTACTTATTTAGAAGAATCCTATAGATGATAAGATTTGGAATTCCTATTACACATCAGCATATTTTTCTTTTTAAATTCAAGATTCACAATGGAAAATATATCTGTTGAATATGAAAAAGAAAGTTCATGACCTTTAAAAGATGTTGAATAACAGACAAACTAAAAGCTTTACTTATGTATCAGAAAGCCTCTTTGAATATTTCATCGAGGAATGCTGAATTAGTTCAGAAAAAAAATACATTAAAAAAGTTTGCCTTTCTCATAGGAAAAATAAAAGGCTGGATGAGACTGGATAAAATTGTCTCATTTAGACTTACATAAAACTCATATCCATTATCAAAATGAGAACAGGGAAAATAAGAAATGAAGAAACATTAGTATAAATTTAATTCAACTTGAATGAAAGATATTAGAAATACTGATCTTCCCATCAGACACGTGGCTTG